AGCAGGCCGCGGGGGAGAGGCCCGGCCTACACCACCACCAGCAGCACCTGTGCTGGGGTTTCCCAGAGCCCAGGCCCCTCGCGGCCCGCCACAGGCAGGCGTTGACTCACCGTGCTCCCTGGAGCACACAGGCATGGCCTGGCTCCCTGGGGTCCCCCAGCCAGGGCGCGTCCTGGTCTGTGGGGAAGGTCAGGCCGAGGTGGACGTCCCTGCCCTCTCTCCCTCCAGCTGGAGCGGTGCCCTGTCCACGGGCCTGGCCAGCCTCCTCTGGCGGAGCTCAGGGTGGTTCTTTCTGGGTAGAGGGTCCGGCCAGCTGCCCGAGAGCCGATACTCTCAAAGTGTCCCCACAGGAGAGCTGGATTATGACAAACCCAAGAGGATTAGCTGGGGCCGCCATCTGCAGGGAGAATAATTAGCTTTATGGGTTTACAGGCTACACCCGGCCCTCTGCCCAAGGGGACACTGGTGAAGGCCGTTGGGTGCAGCTGTGGCTGCGGGGAGCCTGTCAGGCGCCAAGGCCTCCCATGCGTTCCAAGCATTGGGTTGCCACATTCCGAGTGATGCCAGCCCGGAACACAGCCTCCTGAGGGGGGAAACCAGGAAGAAGTGCCTGATTGTTTACCACCACCCCAAGAAAGCAGCGAGTCGAACCCCACAGCCCTGGACAGGCACAGGGGACATGGAGACCCGGGGACCGAGGAGGAAGAGTGTCCACGCATGCTCACTACCTGTGCTCATAACCCGCTCACTTTGGACAGCGCTTCTCAGGCCACACAAAAATCAACCGCTTGCGTTTACTCTGGCACACCTATGGGAAACGAGGGGACCCCATTCTCTCTAAGGACAGGAAATCTCCTTTGTGCCCCGGGAGCATGTGGCAAGGGTTGGAGACATTTTAGCTGCCGCCGTGGGACAGAGGTGACTGTTGCTGGCGTCTGCTGGCTGCTTAGCACCCTAACAGGCACAGGCCAGGCCTTGTGACAAAGGGCGACAGACCCCTAAATGCCGCTGGTCATGTCGGCTCCAGGATGCAAAAAGCAGTGACCTTATTATAATTGGAGAGGAAAGGCACCCCGATCTCCAGCCACATGACTGGTAACAAGTTCTGAGATGACCCCCCCAAAATCTTTGCAGGGCAAGAACTCACACAAGCTCTGCCTACGAGGCTTGATTCTAACTGGAGATACCAAGAACCACATGAACAGCCCAACGGGATGAGCCTGGCCAGGGCCTCAGGGAGAGAACTAAGTCAAGACCAGGACAGGTGGGCCTCTGTCTCTGTCTCTCTGTGTGTTTCTCTCTCTCTCTCTCTCTCTCTCTGTCTCTCTCTCTCTCTGGAAGTCTGAGTGAGGGGTACAAAGCACGGAGCTGGCCTGGGGCTCTGACGCTCAGGGCAGGAATGGAGCAAAGCCAGATCAGGGTGTGGCCGGCTGCACTGACCGCAGTGAAAGTCAGCGCGTGTCTCCCAAGGCCCATGGCCGTCTCTGCACCTCGGGCTTTGGCCACTAAGCAGACGCTTCCAAGTGGATAGATGCATGATCACTTAGAAACACTCAGACATGGCTGACTCTGGATTATCTCACCCCTCCCTGCTCCAGGGGCCTGGCTGGACCAGAGGCAAGGCTGATGCTTCTCTGGGGAGGCTGGGGTCTGCATGAGTCCCCAGGGTGCAGGCTCTCAGAACCTGACTTGGTGCACAAGAAGCAGACACAGCGGATGGCTTTTCCTTCTGTGTTCATGAGCAGCTTCCCACCCCCCCCCTATCCCCGCCCCATCCTCAGCCCTCCCCCAGACCTGGCAGAGCCTCCAAGATGACTGACAGACTGTCACTTTCTCAGGGCCCCGACAGGAAGTAATGGCGCTGCTCACGTGAGTGGCCGGGGAGACATCCTGAAGCCTGACGCCCTCACTTCCTGGTTCTGGAAAATCACTTTGCTTCTGTGGACTTAGAACCCCTTCTCCCTGACCAGCCCGCTTGCTACCTCGTATGACCCAACTAGGGCCTCAAAAGTCAAAGCCCACAGGCCTTGGCTCCAGGTGAGCACTTGCCTCACAGGCACAGGAGACTGGGTTCCATTCCGGAAGAAGGAGAAGGAGAAGGAGGAGGAGGAGGAGGAGGAGGAGGAGGAGGGGAGGAGGAGGAAGAAGAGGAAGAAGAGAAGGAGGAAGAGAAGGAGGTGGAAGAGGGAAGGGAGGAAGAAGGAAGGAAGGAAGGGAGGGAAGGAGGGAGAGAAGGAGAGAGGGAGGGAGGGAGGGAGGGAAGGGGGGAAAGAGGGAGGAGAGGAGAAGGGACGGAGGGGGAAAGAGGAAGAAGAAGAACAGTAACAACAATGAGGAGGAGGAGGGAGAAGGAAGGAGAAGAAAGAAAAGAAGGAAGAAGAAAGAGGAACAAAGAATAAAGGAAGGAAGGAGAAGGAAAGAGGAAAGAGAAGGAAAGAAAGACAGAAAGACAGATGGAAATAAAGGAAGGAAGGAAGGAAGGAAGGAAGGAAGGAAGGAAGGAAGGAAGGAAGGAAGGAAAGAAGGAAGAGAGGAAGGAAGGAAGAAAGGAAGGAAGGAAGGAAGGAAGGAAAGAAGGAAGAGAGGAAGGAAGGAAGAAAGGAAGGAAGGAAGGAAGGAAGGGAGGGAGGGAGGGAAGGAGGGAGGGAGGGAGGGAGGAAGGAAGGAAGGAAGGAAGGAAGGGAGAGAAGGAGGGAGGGAAGGAGGGAGGGAGGGAGGGAGGGGGGAAAGAGGGAGGAGAGGAGAAGGGACAGAGGGGGAAAGAGGAAGAAGAAGAACAGTAACAACAATGAGGAGGAGGAGGGAGAAGGAAGGAGAAGAAAGAAAAGAAGGAAGAAGAAAGAGGAAGAAAGAATAAAGGAAGGAAGGAGAAGGAAAGAGGAAAGAGAAGGAAAGAAAGAAAGACAGAAAGACAGATGGAAAGAAAGGAAGGAAGGAAGAGAGGAAGGAAGGAAGGAAAGAAGGAAGGAAGGAAGGAAGGAAGGGGGGAGGGAGGAAGGGAGGGAGGAAAGGAAGGAGGGAGGAAGGAAGGAAGGAAGGAAGGAAGGAAGGAAGGAAGGAAGAGAGGAAGGAAGGAAGGAAGGAAGGGAGGAAGGAAGGGAGGGAGGAAGGGAGGGAGGGAAGGAGGGAGGGAGGGAGGGAGGGAGGGAAGGAGGGAGGGAGGGAGGGAGGGAGGGAGGAAGGGAGGAAGGAAGAAAGGAAGGAAGGAAAGAAGTAATGGATGCAGTAGGCGCTGGCTGGCATGAGGACTCCAGGAGGGAATTCTCATTCACATACTTCCAATATGATTGCTGCTGCTCCAACAATCATCTCTGGTTGGGAGAAAGAAAGGGAAAAAGAGGATGTCCTTCCCGGACCCTGGAGAAGGGATCCCGAGATGGCACACAGGGCCACTCCAGATCTGCCCTAGCACGATGCAGAACACACAATCTTGCACAGCTCCGTTGCTGGTCTCCAGGCCTCCTCAGGTTCGCTTGCACTTGTTCTGGCTGCCTGTGGAGATGGGGTGTCTAGGTATGATGGGGTATCTGGGTATAACGAGCTAGTTGGGGTATACAGAGAGGAGTACGGACTGGGCAGGGAGGTAATGTGGTGAAATTCAGAGGTGCTGGGGTGGCAGGAAGGAGCTTTCAAGAATGGCTGGGCAGACAGGGCCATAGTGGAGCCAGGCAGCGGGGCGAGGGGTCACGGTCGCTGGGGAGTGGGAAAAGGGATGTCCTGGGAGGAACCATCAGCATCCCCAGCTCTCCTACTGGGGCTCTGGACAGAACCTGTCATGCAGGGGAGAGCTGTACTTGTCCCCTGGAGTGTCTTGTGGGTACCAGAGTCTCCTGGCACAAAGGAGGGTAAAGCTAGGTACTCCTAGTCCAAGCATGTAGAGTTCAGGAGCCACACTTGAAGTCTCCCTATGGAGCTGCACCCGAAAGTGATGGTACAAGATATACAGTCACTAGCCAGGCACACGTGGCTCACACCTGTCATCCTAGCTACTCAGGAGGCTGAGATTCAAACCATCCTGGGCAGGAAAGTCCATGAGACTCTTATCTCCAATAAACCGCCAGAAAACCAGAAGGGGTGTTGTAGCTCAAAGAGCGCTAGCCTTGAGCTGAAGAGCTGAGGGACAGTGCCCAGGCCCAGAGTTCAAGTCCCATGACCAACAAACAAAAAGAAAAAGAAAGAAGAAATGCAGTCACGAAGCCAGGTGCCGGTAGCTCATGCCTGCAATCCTAGCTACTCAGGAGGCTGAGATCTGAGGATCACAGTTCAAAGCCAGCCTGGGCAGGAAAGTCTGTGAGACTCTTCTCTCCAATTAACTACCAGAAAACTAGAAATGGTGCTGTGGCTCAAGTGGTAGAGTGCTCACCTTGAGCTGAAGAGCTCAGGGACTGCATCCAGGCCCAGAGTTCAAGACCAATGATAAGAAAGAAAGAAAGAAAAAGAAAGAAAGAAAGAAAGAAAGAAAGAAAGAAAGAAAGAAAGAAAGAAAGAAAGAAAGAAAGAAAGAAAGAAAGAAAGAAAGAAAAAAAAGAAAGAAAGAAGGAAAGAAAGAAAGAAAGACAGTCACAGACGACCAGCCCATGCTGTGGAAGGTGGCAGACTAAGGGAAGGATATGACAACAACGCAAGTCTTCAGAGAGACAAGTCCTGGCCTTTGGAAGGGGAGACAAGGCTCCAATCAGGATGTGTAGGCTGTGGGGAGACATTCAAAATGTGTGCATGTGTGTATGCATGTGTGTGGGTGCATGTGCGTGCGTGCATGCGTGTATGTGTGCATGTGTGTGTGTGAGTGAATGAATGAATGAATGCCCACTGCCCGATGGAGAACTGAATCTTACAGAGGCTGAAAGACAGGAAAGGAACAGAGGTTCCTTTGAGGACCACCCCGAGAGGCAGGGCTTGAGCAGCTGGTGACCTAACAAAGCCTCTGGCCCAGCAGGGATTCCAGAAGCTGAGGCCGGCCTTGCCAGGTCTCCTAGCAACTAGACACTGGATGTGGGGCCATGGCGCTCCTGACACCTCAGGGTGTAAAGGAAGTCTTCCAGTTTCAGGTGAGGAGAGAAGGGATTTGAAGAGGAGCTTTGCTCTTGTGACTGTGACCGTGGGAGAAGCTACAAGGAGTGGGGGTACGGCGCCTCCTCGGCAGGCATTGGGCCTGCCAGCCGTGTCTCTGCAGACACCCCAGAGGCCACATGAACCACGGTGGCTAGAATCCCCGGGCCTGTGGACAGTCCTAGGAATGGCAAAGCCTGCCCTGGGAGAGGAAGAACTGGGCCGCCAAGGTGGGGTGAGGGGCTCCTCCTTATTGGAGGGCTAGAGGGAAGAGCTGGGACCCAGAGGAGACCAGGGGAGTCTCTGGGGGACAATGACAGGGCTCTGGACCCCCAGGTCTGTCTGGGTGGAGAAAGGCCTCGTGTGTGTTGGGCCTCCATGTTCCCCCATGCCTTTCTTACCCACTTTAGGCAGAATTTTCTTCCCCTACATGATTGGTCATCTCTAAGAGTCCTTATGCGAGGACTGTAGAACACCAAGTCAAGGGGCCTGGCTTGTACGGGGGAATCCATCCGTCTCTTCCCAGCCTACTTCCACCAAACAACTCAAAGCACCGCCTTACCCAGCCTCTGCTCCATCACCAATCATTGACTCTCTAAGTGTGAACTCAAAAGAGCAGCGAGATAAAGGCCATTTCAGAGAGAAATCCAATTTTTGGTTTAGGGAAAAGAATAGAGATCCTCATTTAGAACCAAGGCCGCCTGGAGGTACATAAACCTGGGAAATCTCAGAGAAAATCCAATTTTTGGTTTAGAGAAACAAGAAGATATCCTAATTCAGAACTCGTGGAAACTCTGGAAACTTTCAGAGAAAAGAGGAATGCTAGGGGACTCAAGTCCCAGAAAGAGGGCAGGTGTTGTCGAAACCAAAGCCTAATTCTTCCAAGATGACCTCCCACTTCTGGTTACTCTTGGGGCTCAGACATGGCCCCCAATAGTGTCTCATTTCCTTTTGTGCCAAGCAGAAACGTGAAGGCCGGGAGCACCTTCGGAAGCTCCTGAACTGGGAGGAGTTTGATGAGCTCAGGGATGCGCGCAGGAGCATTCTGCTGGACACCCTGTACGAGAGCGTCATCTTCGCTGTGGGGAAGGGCTTCCCGTGGGTCGAAGTGGTGCAGGTGGTCAAGTTCACAGAAGAGCTTCTCAGGGAAACCGAAGGTACAGACCCCAAGGGTGGGAGCCTGCAAAGCCAGATCACTCCAGAAACCACCCCCCAACATTTTCTCCCTCCCCGCTTGAACCCCTTTGTGGACATGCGCTGAGGTAGCAGTCTGTTCCCAGTTTGGGTCTGTGTTCCGTGGAGGTCAGTTCTCAGCTGACCAAGGCCAAGAACAGGGTACGTGGTTGGGCAGTCTCTCCTCCAACCTTCCCGGGACTTTCAGCAGAAAGGGGGTCCTGCAGCATCAGAGTCCACGGGCACCCGTGAAGGTACAGGACTTCACAGTCATTTGCGCTGATGCTGTCTGGTTCTTCTTGCTCCCATCTTCCTTCCCTCCTACCCTCTCTCTGGATACTGAGCCATCCCGTTCACAAGTTTTCCCTCATCCCTTCATCTGAAATCTTGTGACTCACGCTGGGCACACACTCTAAGGCGGAGCAAGCTCCTGGATGGGTCTCGCAGGCTGGGAACTTTGCCATCCAGGTTCATCAATTCTAGAAGCATGGGGATTCCTGTTCATATAAGATTGTATCATCAGTAAATAGGTGTAATTTGACCTCTTCCTTTCTTTATTGAAGCCCTTTGATTTCCTCCTATTGCTCTATCTAGAAATCCTAGTACTGAGACTGGAAAGATTAGATATGCTTGTCTTGGAATTGGTTTCAGTTTTTCACCTTTTAGTGTGATGTTGGCTTTAGGTTTGTCTTAACCAGCTTTTATTATGTTAAAGTATATTTTTTTTCTTTTCCTAGATTTTTCAAAGTTTTTATCTGTCAAAGACTTTTTCTGCATCAATTGAGATGTCCATGTGATTCTTGCCCTTGAATCTGTTTATTTGCTATATTACCTTTTTAAATTTATGTTTGTTGGAACCAACCTTGCATACCTGGAATTTAGCACAAATTTAGTCATTTTGGGTGATCCTGTGACTTCAGTTAGCAAGATTGAAGATTTTCACATCTATTTTCATCAAAGAGATTGGTGAATAGTTCTTTTTTGTCCAGTTTTGGGATGAGGGTAATAATGGCTTCATTAAGTGAGTTCAGTTGTGAACCTTCCCTTTCTGTTAATGGAAACACTTTGAGAAGTATTGATTCTTTTTTAAAGTTCTTATAGAACTAGCTCAGCTGTGAATGTCAGATCCTGAGATTTTCTTTATTGGGACAATCTTGATTACTGTTCAAATCTCATCAACTGTTATGGATGTACATAGATGATTTATATCCTCTTGTATATCTAGATATACATCTATTTCCACTAGATCTTTAATTTATTTGAGTGAAGGTTTGTGAAGTACTCCCGCACAATCTTCTGGATTTTGCTTGTAATTTTGTAGTATCGCTATTTTTATCCATAATTTTATTTATATGGATTATTTCCCTTTTCCTTTATGTCAGATTGACCAAGGTTTTATATGTGTATATGTTTTTTTTTTTGTTTTTTAACTCAGGGCATGATCACAGTTCCTGAGTTTTTTTGCTCAAGGCTGATGTACTACCACTTGAACTACAGCTCCACTTCCAGCTTTTTTTAGCGGGGGGGAGGGGGGGTGGGAGGGGGTTGGGGGGGAGGGTGATTAATTGGAGATGAGAGTCTTATGGACTTTCCTGCCCATGCTGGCTTTGAACCACTATCCTCAAATCTTAACCACCTAAGTAGCTAGGATTACAGGTATGAGCCATCAGCACCTGGCAGTGTTTATGTTTTTAAAGAACCAACTTTTTTTTTATTGATTCCTTAGTTTAGTTTCTATTTTATTGACTTTTGCTCTAATAGTTATTTCTTTCCATTTATTATTTCTTAGATTTGAGTTTAGCTAGTTTTTGTTTTTCTAAGAGCTTGAGGTGCATCTTCAAGTATTGCAACCTCTGCCTTATTGAGGTAGGTATTCATAGTTATAAACTTTCCTTTTAAAACTATTCTTGTTGTGTGTCTCATTCTGATAGATTGTTCTTTCTTTCTTCTTTCCTTCCTTCCTTCCTTCCTTCCTTCCTTTCTTTCTTTCTTTCTTGTCCGTCGTGGGGCTTGAACTCTGGGCTTAGGTGCTGTCCTTGTGCTCTTCAGCTCAAGGTGAGCACTCTACTGCTTGAGCCACAGCACCACTTCCAGTTTTCTAGTGGTTTTATTAGATATAAGAGTCTCATAGACTTTCCTGCCAGGGCTGTCTTTGAACCGAGATTCTCAGATCTCAGCTTCCTGAGTAGCTAAGATTACAGGCGTGAGCTACCAGTGACTGGATGTTTTCATTTTTTTAACTATACTCTAGAAACTTCTAAACTTACTCCTTTATCTCTTCAATGGTCCACTGACCATTCAATAGTATGCTGTTGAGGCTTCATGAGTGTGAATGTTTTTGTGATTTCATTATTGTTGCTGTTTTGTTGATGCTGGACTCTAGTTTAACTCAATTATGGTCTGACACAATATGCTTTTTTTATACTTGTTGATACTTTCTATATGCCCTAGAATATGATCTGTTTTTCATAATGTTTCATGAAATGCTGAGAAGAATGTGTATTTTGTGATTGCTAGGTAAAATACTCTGTTAAGTCCATGGTGTTATTTTATCCTAGGATTTCTTTATTGAATTTTTTGCCTGAATGACCTATTGGTAAAAGTTGGGCTTTGAAGTCTCCAGCTAGCATTTTGTTGAGGGTGGGGGGGTCTGTGTGTGTTTAAGTACAATAGTATTTAACAAAGTTGAGTGCACTGACATTTGATTCATGTGTTGAGTTATTATGACATCTTGCTGGAGAGTTACCTTTAGTATGAATTGACCTCATTTGCTTCTTCTGACTAATTTTGATATGTCGGATGTAAGTACTGCTTACTTCAACCTATTTCTGGGGTCTGTTCACTTGCAAGATTTCTTTTCCAACCTTTTTTCCCAAAGCAGTGTTTGCTCTTGTCAGATTAGATGAGTGTTTTCTTTGTCGATAACAGATGGCTGTCTTGTTTTTCATCTAACCATTCTATGTCTTCTGATTAGACAACTGAGTCCATTTTGATATTGAGTGTTCAAATGATATTTTTCCAGTTCTACTGTTATATTCTTTTCTTTTATGCTTATGTACTCACCTGGTGGAATTTGTTTACTCCTTTCATGTTTGTGTTGATGTTCTGTGTGTGTGTGTGTGATGTTTTTGAGCATCTCTTCCACAGGACTTAGTGGAGATAAATTGTTTAGTTTGGAATGCTTTATTTGCCCTTCTCTTATGAATGATAGCTTCACTGAGTATTCTGGGTTGGTGATTAATTTCAGAGTTAGAAACGCAGAATTTGAAGCCCTTCATGCTCATGGGTTTCTCTTGAGGAACCCATTATTTCTCATAGGTTTTTCTGTCTTAATTCTTAGCACTTTCAGGATTCTTCCCTTGGTCTTTGTGCTTCACTGTGTTTTAACTATAAAGTGTTGTGGAGAAATTCTTTTCTGGCCCTGGTCTATTTAGAGTTCTAAAAGTCCCTTGTACATGGATGAGCCTCCCTTTTTCAAGACTTAGAACGTATTCTGCCATTTGTTTAATAGAATTCCTATGTCTTTAGCTGTCATTTCCTCCCCTTCATCTATGTCCATCCTATTTAAGTTTGGTCTTTTAATTGAGTCCTGAGGTTCTGAAGATTTGATTTTTTTTTCCTACTTTTTTGACTGTACTCTTAATCTTCAAGCCCTGTAAATATTTTTCCCTATTATCTACTGTTTTGGGAAGATGTCCCACTTTATTTTTCATCTCAAAGACTTCAATTTATCTGATAGGCTTTCTGTTTAGGAAAGTTCAGTGCAAAGAAAGCGGGTGGAAGGGGGGGAAGGGAGGAAAAAGTTCAGAAGTTCAGTGCTTTCCCCCCACTCTGAAAGGGGAAGTTTGCCCAGGATGCTCTGTGAGGCACCCACCCAACTCAGAATTAGGTATGCTGTCATTTTCTAGTCCATGTAGCTGGTTCATCTCACAGAGCTATGCATTCCTTTTGCGTTGAGCTTGCATAGGGCTCAGGTGCTGTCTGCAGTTCCCATTTTGCCCTGGGTCTCAGGACACAGATGCAACCAGGCTTGTTGTTCTGTATATTCTTTAACTGTTTTGCTGGTACTTCTGTGCATGACTCTCATCAGGAGAAAAGTTGAAAAGAGCTAAAGGGGGAAAAAAGGATTCTGGAGGGACCTTCCCTCCTACCAGAGGGCTTTGTCCTTTTCTAGCTCAGTGTAACTAATGTTTTCCCCTTTCTTCATGCTTAAGATTCAGTAATTTTGACTTCAACTAGTCTCAGTCTGCATACACTTTGTCTGGCCTCCTCACCTAAGCTGGACTTTCCATTCTTAAGCCTTGAGCCTCCAGTTGTCCTCAGATACAGAGGACAGGCAGCCATCGACAACCTTCCATTTTGAGAACCACCTACTCCTCTATTCAGACTAAATTCCTCCCATGGTCCCCACCTGGGCAGCGAGGGAGGCTCAATCACAAAGAAACTTGAACTTTGTTAGGCTCTGCACCTGTTCATTTTTTTCCTCAGTGCCAGATGATGGCATGATGCATAGAAGATAAGGAGGGAAGGAAAGAAGAAAGGAAGACAAGAAGTAGGGAAGGAAAGAAGGGAGGGAGGGAGGGAAGAATAAAGGAAGATGAGAAGGAGGGAAGGAAGATAGAAAGGGAGGGAGAGGATGGAGGGTAGGAGGGAGGGAGGGAGGGAGGGAAAAAAGAGAGGTAGGGAGGGAGGGAGCTGGAAGGAAGGAAAGAAAAAGGAAGGAGGGAGGGAGGGAAGAAAGGAAGTGAGGAAGGAAGGAAGGAGGGATGGAAGGAAGGAGGGAAGGAAGGAAGGAGGGAGGGAAGAAAGGAAAGAAAGAAAGAGAGAAAAAGAAAGGTGTTCCAGTGCCCCTTGGGCAGTGCTCAGGATGTCAGGAGTCTGCACTGTCCTGGTTGCTGTGTGGTGTTTGTGCACTGACTGGGTCAGAGGTAGCAGAGAGGCTGTTGAGACGGCAGACCCCCACATTGCTAAATTGAAGATGCTG